TCGCCGAACAAGTCATCCTAATTGCAAGTTTTGGCCATTTTAGACGCGAGACAAGTTGATAAGCTTGTCGGTACGGATCGCTCGGAAAATTACACTGGACATCTACCAGTGTACGCACTTCGCTAACTACTTTTTCTAACAGATTTCACATTGCATCCTGATTTATATTAAAAGCAAATGTGACAACGGACACTGGCAACGCAATCGAAACGTTCAGCAGCGCATGCTCCTTAGACTTTGAATGTCATTCATTGCCACAGGAATCCCAATTTTTTGTTAATTTTCCAACTTTTCCTGCAAAAACATATGGCACTCGACGATATCTTTAACGCCGTGAAACTTATTCAAAGAGGAGACAATTTTGATAGCTGGAGCTTTAAAAAAAGTTTAAGTTGAAAGTTTTTTTTTTTTTTTAATTAAATGGTTTTAATTTTTTTTTATTTGCATGAGTTTGGCTTAGAAAACGAAACTTATATTTTGTAGCACTAGCCACATGTAGTCCTTGACTGCGTATTTTTTTCAGTGCAGCCATTACATATACATTCATCTGATGCTGAGATTGTTCTAACATACGTGTGGTCATGGCTCTCATTACCATTAAAAAGCTCTCTTACAATGCCGTGTTTTTATTTCTTCTTGATCTGTACATATAATGTTGTTGTCTTCTGTTTGTAATGTTTTTCTTTTCTTTTTTGCAGCTCCTGACTGCCCCTGAAGCATACAGCACGTATTTGTATTTATTTAATATAATATGCATTTCACCTGGACATACATGTAAGAGTGAAACTCATTTCAACAAACACTTCCAGTTTTCTGAAGCATTAGATTTTGTTATTACATGTACAACACTTATAATTCCCAATCTACAAGATATCTTGTATTGGGGTCACTGTGCTATCATTCGGATTACCAAAGTCTCCAACTGTAGTKATTCAATGTTTTCTTTTTCTTACAAAGTTAGACTGCAATGCACCATTATTTTGTAATTAAGAAAAGGTTGATCATGACAAGTTGCTTTGCTGATAGCAAAGGAACCCCCTTTTTAGATAATTTCTACTACTTTCAATGTATGCTTTACCATAAATGTGAAAATGATTATTTAATTTGCTTTTTTTATACAGTACTCTTACAAAATGTTAATTTCAGTTAAGCTATCGAAAACTGATATACACTGTATACCTGCTGTTCTGACTGATCTGGAGTAGCTTCAACAATAGGCTTTCTTTTTTGACAAGTTTCCACACGCTTTTCAAGATGCTGATTACTCTATATTAATAAAATATTGTCTGTAACATTTTCAGATGCAAGCTGTATCAATTCACTTAAATATTTATTTATTTTAAATTGTCAGGTGAAATTACATGTTGTATGTATAGTCTGTTACCAACTTAACAAATTCAGTAGTTGAACAGACTCTTTACTGGACTTCATAAATGTAGGTCACTGTTCAGATGTTCAGATGCAAGCTGTATTGCTTCACTTTATTTATTTTCAATTTTCAGGGGATGTACATGTATGTGTAGTCTGTTACAATCTTAACAAATTCCGTAGATGAATTGTAACTGGACAGACTTGTATTGGACAGTAAATAGGAGAACATTTACTAGGTTACTGTTTCCCTTTGATGATTGAAWTTACAACTAAGCTTATATTTTGTTGTAACTTGGGTCATTTCAGGTTTTCTCTTGGATTTGTYAGTAACATTAATTACCTTTCTTACTGCCCAGCCACAATTTATGCAGTGATAGTGATCAAGTCCATTTTGGCTATAACTACACTGATATAAGCAGTTGAAGTCATACAATCTAAAATATTTCTTTCCCTTCTCTTTGTGGCATTTTGTTGTTTTTGTATGGCTGTTCTTATGAACATGTATTCTTGATTTCTGTTGAAACAATGAACTTCACCTAAACTATAACTTCCTTAACGTTGGCCCACTTAAATGGAGATATAGATAGTGTCACCATACTAGATAGAAGGATATATATGAGCTCAAGGAAGGGTGAACAAAGAGGAAGGGCTACGTGTCTCTCAAATAACAGCCTAAGTGGCAGTGTCATTGAACTATTGTATTTGTTGAGTAATAGACCACAGCATTGAAAACGACAATAACAAGGGGAATACTGAATTGGCCGCCAAATGATATTTCTTTAGTTTCTGCTATATTACAAAGCTTGGTGGCCCATTATGATGCAAATCCCTACTCCTTGGTAAAGTTAAATGTAACAAAGGGTTGCCTGAATATTATGACTCTCCAGGTAGGGTGAACCTCCTAGTAACCATGTCTTAAATAAAATAAATAAAATTTCCTTCATTTAATTATTGAAATATGAATAGTACAAGTTAACTGTGAATTATTTGTTTTATTAATCAACATTTCAACAAATGATATTGGTTGTCCAGCATAGTTAATAGAAGTGGAAAGCTATAAAGGTCCAGAAAGTCYTGTCTGGAACTGTAAATTCATGGCTGTTGTTCACAAAATAATACACAAGAAAACTGCATAGCAATTTTAAGCTGAAATAAGCTTTGTTTTAATAAGACTGGGCTAAGAAATGAGAAAAAATTACTTTGTACACGCCAACTAGAATTTGAATGTTTCTCGTTTCTCCCATGACTCAACTGCGGCTCTATGTCATGGAAAAAGCAAGCTTGCTTACTTTAAATAATCCCTTTTCTTGATATCAAACATTTAGAAATGAACTTGTTTTTTTCGGAGAGCATATAAGCTCAACCTCACCTCAGAACGTAGAAAACTTAAGGTATTTGGTTTTCAGAGCGACGAAAATAGATACGTCAGCATTGAATGCTTGTAAAAAGCATTGGCCTTTAGCTATTAGCTTATTTTAAATGTTTAACAGCATTTTTGTCGACTTATATAGTCCAAAGCTCTTCGCTTCCTTCGCTTTTTGATTTTATGGGTTTCCTTTGCTGTATTTTCCCGCGAAACTTGTACGGCCGCGTCGCAGAGCTGCGCGGCCGGGCGCGCGAAAAATGTCTTCCCGCTAAAAAGGCAATATTCAAATTTTCCCGCCCCAAGTGCGTCACGTTATCCCCTAAGTTGTTAAATCCCATTCACTGGTTCCAGTTCGCTGACGACGCTGCRGTCATAAGTGGTCAAGAATCTGAAAATCAGCACTTAATAAATCGCTTTATAATCTGGTGTCAGTGGTCTGACATGATAATTAGAGTTGACAAATGTATTACTTTTGGAATCAAAAAACTGTTCACTAAGTCTGTACAAATCCACATAAGAAGTTATTAAAGGTTTCCGTTCTTATCACGAAGATAAACTGCTACATCATCTAACATCTCAGGGTCTCTTCTTTGCGAATGTCACAGTTTTCGTTATCTTCTGTTAACTCTATTTGGTCATCTGTCCAGTCTAAGCTACCTAAGAACATTTATAATTTTACCATTCGCTATATAAACAACACCCTTGCTARACGAAAAAACCTATTTAAATGGGGATCYTCACAAAGTCCTGACTGCTCTTTCTGCCTTAATCCTGAATCACTTGAAAGAAAGGGTTTCAACAGGTTAATGACATAGTCAGCCTCATTGCCATAAAAGTCTATTATTCCATTGTTTGTAACTGGTGTTTTAGGGCATATTGCAATCTTGGCATCTGCATAGAGAATAGAAAACTTCTGCTCCAAACGCTTAATCTTATTTTTACAGATATATTGTGAATAGTACTTACCTATGGGCCGCCGTCTCCACCAAAAATACGATTGTGTTCAATGGTATAGGTTTCGATGTTCAATGGAGTAGCTTGTAGTCTATTGGACTAGCTATGTACGTCAAACGGACTAGCTTCACCTTGAACGGCCTAGGTATGTTCGTCAAACGGACTAGCTTGATCTTGAACGGCCTAGGTATGTTCGTCAAACGGACTAGCTTGATCTTGAACGGGCTAACTATGTTCGTCAAACGGACTAGCTTGACCTTGAACGGGCTAGCTATGTTCGTCAAACGGACTAGCTTGACCTTGAACGGGCTAGCTATGTTCGTCAAACGGACTAGCTTGACCTTGAACGGCCTAGCTATGTTCGTCAAACGGACTAGCTTGATCTTGAACGGGCTAGCTATGTTCGTCAAACGGACTAGCTTGA